GTTGCTGGATTGACATGTACACACTAAATCTAACAGCCAAATCTTCTCAACTCTCATTGTAGCTCTGGACACGAGACAGACAGTACTATCGAACACACAAAGAGGGAAAAAGGCAAGAATGGATCAATGTGCTGAGAGAAGTTCAGGATAAGGTTACAGCTTCCCAGTCATGCTATGCACCACCCACTTACAGTAGAAAAGACACCTCAGACCAGGTGAGAACTTCCTTATCTAAACTCTCATTTTGCCCATCTCTCCTTTCCTCCTCTTCCTACTGGCTTGTCAGTCTCCACTATTAGCTTTATATTATTCTCAGACTTCATCTTGTCCATATCTAAAAAGCCCTCGGGTTTAAACCAACCCTCATTCTCCATGTCTCAAATAAAGTGTTGGTACTCCACTCATGCCATAAGCTACGGTACTTTGATAAATGGCAAATGGACTTTCTTTCCCTGAGCTGAGTCTGTCAGGTGGCATAAAATATCCTTTGTCCTTCACTACAACTGCCAGACTGATGGAGGGCTGTAACCTTGGCGTAGATGGTGCTTAAGGGGCACAATTCAGGGCAGGGAAATCCCTTTTAATCTCCACTGTGGTGATGTGGCCTTGAAGTGTAACATTTACAATTCAGTAAAAAAGTTCACTCATGTCACTTTGACAGCCCTGGTGTAAAAATGGTACATCTAAGTCAGATCTCTGAAAAGCACTGTAGTGCTGAACACCTTCCATTTTCCAGAAGGTCAAGTCTTGGAGGATGTAGAAAATCTGACACACATAAAGCACTGTGGGAAGGTGACGAGATATCACCCAGGTGTCAGCAAGTCAAAGATGGAGAGCAAAGAGGAGACAGAGTGTTAGAAAGGTAGAGTGTGAAACAGGGAACAGGTAAAAGTACTAGAGCAAAGCTAGAAATGCAAGAAACCAGCATCCATCTAACACGTCTTCTCCCCAGAACTGAGTGGACCTGGCAGGCTTTGCTGTATGTGGACAAGGGTTTACTGTCCACATTTGCTTATTTATAAATCACCTGTATGTGTCTCTGAGTGAATAGATACAAATACACTCTGTTGGCAGTTTATTAGGTACACCTAGCTAATACACAGTTGAATAAACACCTAATTAAAAACAGATTCCACAAAAACTGATTATCGCCTTCATGAAGAGAGGACTACTGCATTAGACTGTGACTATATTAGCTGTAGCTTGGTGTAACTCGCAAACTAGTTGAGTGCAGTTATGAAGCTGGTTCTAAAAGTATTTTTCTTTACTGTAAATTCACATTTGAAAGGGTTCTTGATATTCTCAGTGTTCCACAACAAAGAAACACAGGATAATTTACCAGTACCACAAGTTTAGGTTACAGTCATTAGTCTAAATGGTTACCACTTTTTTCAGTGAAAATGTACTATATGGTACATGGCTCAATACTCCAAGCCTCAGCTGCTACTCGACTTGGGGAAGGAAGCCAGTGCGATCCATGAATCGGAGCTTGAGCAAACAGTTTCTCATTGCAAGAGGGAATAAGCACTTCACCATAGTTACAAAATGAATGCAACACTGACCAAGAATATAAAAGTAAAGTGGAATGAAGGAATAGTTTGACATTTTTAGTGAGATGAGAACACCGATACTACTCATGTCTATATGCTACAGCCAGCAGCCTATCTCGGTAGCTCATCAGCTGAACAGATAATAGAATAAAAGTTGAGATTTGAAAGTACTTCAGCTGCTATTTACCATTGTCTAAACAGAAAAAGCAGGACTTTTACTTCCTGAACCAAAAACATGCCTTTCATTTTAGAACTGTATATGTGTGTCTGTGTTAAAGTTGGCATCAGGGAACACAGGCAGGTGGGTAGGCAAGGAACGTGTTTGATAGCTTCCTATAGAGTAGTGCACAGTGTGTGTGTGTGTGTGTGTGTGTGTGTGTGTGGCTTGAGGAACCAGTCTGTGGGGAGCTGATTGCACAGGCTCTCATTATGTGGCCAGTGGCTGTAATGGAGTGTGACAGCAGCATGCTGTGCTCTGGATCTCTGTCCTTCCAGCCTGCAAAGCCAATTAAACACACTCTGCCCTGCTCTCCCACAGCCTCAGCCTGCTTCACTCTCCATCACCCCCCCACCCTGGCTCCCCAACACTACACTGTCCGTCCCCACTCTCTTACATGTGGCCTTACATGTGCCACCCTTTGTAGGTGACTCCTTCTAAACCCTGAACCTCCACATCTCCAGGTTCAGTACTTCCCGCTCTTTCCTCAATCTTTTGCCTCTGGCCCTTATTTCCTGTTATCCACATAACAATTCAAAGCCCCAGTTGCTTCTGCCGTTCCTTCCACACTCCTCAGCCTCCCCCTGTGCCAACCTAACGCCTGTCTCCTGGTGGCTTTGCAGTAAAGCAGGGCTCCTTTCGGGGGCAGAGAGTGAAGTGCTGGGCTGCAAGGGGAGAAAGCCTCTGATGACAGCTTTACTCTGTGCTACCACACAAACACACTAAAGAGAGGGAACGAGGGAGAAGGAGAGGAAGAGTGAGAGAGAAGTACTTGGTTCCTAAAGACTCAGAGCAGTCACAACCACTTAGGAGGAAAAATGCCCTGCAGCACCAAAAACACACATTTATCAGTCCTTCAAAATGTGCATACACACACACACACATCACAGACAGATGCATACACTGAATTTGTGACTGTGTATGTTTGTGTGCTTCCAGGACTAGACCTCTGGTTTTTAAGTGTTTAAAATCAAGCCCTGAAAGTGCAGTCTACAAAACAGAAGAAAAAATCTTTTGACATCTTTCCTCCTCCTGTGTATCCCTCTGACAGTACCACTCATGTAGGTGCAATTAGTGGCAGAATTCACTCCCTCCAAGGGCTTGTGTGTGAATGTGTGTGTGCATGTACAGTGCTGAAGTGTGAGTTAAGAGAAGAGGGAAAAGAGGAGAGTTTGGTACCTGTTTTGAACCAGCCATCATCAGTGAAACACTCTCGGGTCTCCTGAGGCTTGTTCCAGTACTCCTTAAAGACAGATGGACCTCGAACCAAGAGCTCCCCCTCTCTCCCCTCTAGACCTGGCTGCACCTATGGCATATTCACACAAAGAAAGAAACAGACCAAGACAGCTGGAGTAGACAGTTTAAAGGAGTTTGCCATGACACTGCTTAAACGACCATCTACTGTACTGTAGCTGATTGACAGGTGATGAACTAGCTAACAATAGCAAGACAAACAAATGCTAAACGGAATCATATCTGCATGCAATTATGAAGGCAAAATACTACATTTTCATGAATATTAACAAGAAAAACTAATATCTCACATTTTACATTTATTTAGGGGAAATAAGGTGTCAATATCTGCATTCTGGCTTGCACAACTGAATATGGAGTTTCAAATTCATAATCAAATCCACCTCCTATAGATAAACTTATTTGTTGATTGATTACCCGAGTCTCTCTGTGATTGCCCTCCACAATCGTGGTGTTGGATGTGTTATTCATGACAATCCGGACTTCCATACCGGGAAGTGGCAACCCTACGGCTCCTGCCAACAAAACAAGCAGAAACACAAAAACAAGACATGAGTACAAAGAGAAGAAAGTCCACTGAAAAAGAAATGATTTTTTTCAATTTTATAAAAGTTGAACACTCATGGGCAATGACCAATGGAGTGATTGTCATCAACCTTTACCACAGTGGGAGTGCTCCCTTTCAAGATGGCGTTAATCTGTGTCTGCGGGGCATAACTGGCCACATAGTCATTTGTCTCAGTCAGCATAAGCCAGATTACTTAGACAGTAAAGGTGATGCCCGATGCAGCTGTTTTCATCAACATCAAGAAAACTCCAAATAAGAGAACTATTTTTGCACATTTGTCTTAGGATGCTTAAAAATAGGTATACATTCCCAGGCCCAGGGTACTGGGATCTATCATGAGCATTGGCAGAGCCTTTAACCTTTGCCTGCATCCATGGCAATAAATCAATCCAAAATTCACATCATCACACTCCTCTTTCTCTCTGCACCCATTTTACATTGGTTCAAAGAAAAAAAAAAGGCAAAGCACTGACTTATGCTACAATTAAGTCATTTAGTCCTAACTACTGCTGAGTGTTTGACAAGGCTTTTAACTGACGCACAGTTGCATAAAAACATTATAACTAAGCTGACAAATTATGGAATAGAATAATAGTGTCAAAAATGCAGCAGCGGTTGACAACTGTGTGCTGCTCTAATGTTTAAGTGAAACTATTAATTACTGTGTAAAAAATGTGCTCCAAATTAAAAAATTCCAACACGTACTGACATCACCTCCATCTTTGTGTGTGTGCAAATGTAACCTCCTGAGTTAGCAAACCGTGCACACGGGATGCACAGAGACGAACTCAGTGGTATTTTGTGTGTGTGTGTGTGCTCTCCCCATAATGAACAGGTCGAGTCCTAATTAAAGAGTGATTCTCTCATTTCATATTGATCTAAACCACTCTAGTCCTGATTGGCAATGTCCATCACATGCGCTCCATTACTTGCACTCAGTCCAGAAAGGACTACAGTGTTTCACAATGGACAAGCAGGATAACAAACAAACAAACTTGAGTCAGAAGGTTAATACACTGCATGATCATTTAAAAAAAAACAGCTAGCAGTTACATAAGCCAAATCATGCCATGTTATGACTGCATCCTGAACCGCCATGGAAAATGTGTACAATTTAAGTAAGACCTAAAGTATAAAGAGGCCATGGTGTCTTCTTTTCCTTAGTCACAGTATGGAGGGTGGAGTGGATCAGGATCAACTACAGGTGGAGAACATTCAGTGTCTTACTCAAGGACACTACAGCAGGGTTAGGTTTCCCGTATGCTCTGTTAGAAACACTCGTTGCTCAATTGAACATCTTTGGAAATCCCTATAACCCACACCTTTCTAATGTTGTTTCATGAAACCAACAATCTGGCGTTCATACGCATCTCATGCCATGATTGGTCAGCTGTGCAGACGTGAGAACGGAGCTATATGTAGCTATATACAGCTAATATGTGTTGTCATTGCCATATTTAAACAATATCATGTTTCCCTTCCTCTCTGTAATGGCCAACTTTTCACCTCATCTTTGAGTGTGGCCATTGAGAACAACAAAAACACTTTTGATTTCCATCATGGACATGAACAGTACCTCATAATAGCTACTTTTCTGGTATAAACAGACCCTTAATACCTCTAAATATGGGTCACCTCAACAAAAGAGGTCCTCTTTAAAATCAAGGCAAATTGAAACAAGTGTCCAGATGATCAAATAGTTCACAACTGCTCAGTCAGTTCATCTAAAACACTATTTAGAGGTAAAAATGAAAGGAAGACCATGTATCTGCAATAATGTATAACCAAGTTTGGCATTTGTCTTTGTTCTCTTTTCCAAATATGGTAGGACTGCTTATATATTTGCCTTTTCATATTTCTTGGCAGTGTTCAAATCAAAGGGGAACTCAGGCACAGTTCCGTTTTACTTTTACATAAGATCTTAGAAATTAATATTTTATGTATTATTGTTATTAGCAATTAGTACGAAATTAAAATAACCCAAGGTCTTAAAACACTGAATTATCTTTTAGAATAAACCTGCAAAAAATAGGTCAGTCTCTCAAGCTCTCATCTTGTGGGTGAAGCGCTCTTCATAGAGTAGACACAGTAATCTTTCTTACCCGGCTCAATGACAAACTGCCATCTACAAAAAGACAAAAAAACATTACCATCCTGCAATAACAAAGTCTCCACAGTGCATTAGAGATTTGACTTTCCCCTGTTAGGCCCACATCTACCATCATTTTTGTCTTTCTCACATCAAGGGCTTGAAAAATTTTGAAGACTCGCACCATTTTGGTCTTGATGATTCAATCAGCCATTTTAAGTGCACAGGCGGGTAATAAATGCTCCACGGTGGATAAGAAAAGGTCTGTATTGGAGTGATGGGATTGTTGTACAGTTACTCTTCAATCAATAGAAGACTTCATAACTTTGGGCTTCAAATGAAAAAGAAGGAATCAGACTTGGGGCTGGAAGGTGTGGTGCAATCTCTGTTCTCTTTGTTAGTAAAAAAAAAGAAAAAAGAAAATAGCAGCTGAAAAGCAGGAATAAAAGTGATCAAAAAGGTCGACGTGGCAGCAAAGTGAGATAAAGACAGAAAAAACTGTCATACAATTCAGCAAGGACAGTATGACCTAGAAAGCCACACCGCTGTAAATCTGTAATGCTCCAAAACTGTAAGATACAACAACAATATGCCCTAAATACAGTAAAATAAATAAATAAAATCTGTGTCAATAAGGTGCATTAAGAGCTGAGTTCTCCTGCTACTTAGCTGTTGGTGGTCAGAAAGAAACAAATGTGTATAGGAGAGAGGGTGACTCCACTTCACTACTCTTCTCTGAGTGTTTCCTGCAGTTGCTATTGATCCATTTTAACCTACTTAAAGACAAGACAGGAACACTTCGACTCAAACAGGCACAAGCTCTTGCCCACATACACGTCTCGCACATGTCTCTATGCTGCAGTGGAACACCACAGACCTCTTGAAGCCATTCTTAACAATCACCTGAGAGGATTCAAACACAACCTACAACAGTTTATGTCAAACATTACCTGACAAACAAAACAAAACAAAACAGCAAGACAGAGGATTACCCAAGCCATTTGCAAGCTAATTAGCTGGTACCTGTAAGAGGAAGAGTTGGCTGGGGAACAGGAAGAGAAGGAGAAGGTGGGGAGAGAGAGGAAGGAGGGAGGACAGGAGAAGAAAGCAACCACCACTACCCTGACCTCGTTTCAAGACCTTGCCTTTGTTTCTGCATGTATGAGGGAGGCCTAGCTGAGATGATAGGGTTTTTTTTTAACCTGACATCAGACAAAACTGCCTGCGATCAAAACACAACACATGAAGCTGAAACGCTAAAACTGGTGAGAGAGGCAGAACAATATCAGAGATACAGTATGTGAGAGAGATTTGATCAAGAAGAGGAAAGTTACTAATTGTGTGGTCAGACCAACAGTCTGGTTTCGTGGATCCAAAGTGCAGAATAATCTGGGAAAGTCATCTGAATTAAACATGTAATCACAGCAGTGGAATCTCATTTGTAAACCCTGAACATATTGCCATAATGTAAGTAAGAGACAGCCCTTTTTTTACCCACATTTATTAAACCTTTTGATGATGTCCGTGTCATGGTTGAATGTGCTGCATACTGAGATATACAGTAGCCATCAAGATGATATTACAGTGTTTCAGATAGATGACCAGTAGCTTTTAGTCAGCTTCAGAAAAGAAAATCAAAAGCAGAAAGGAAATCCTCTGCTCCATGAGTTCAATTTAATCCATCACTGTCTCCAGAACCAGACTCACTGGACACACACACTTTAAAAAATATATTTAATGCGATGACGGTGGAAGAAACCACTGAGTGCATGTTTGTTGACTGTTAATCATAACATACCAAATTTAAAAAGCTAGTAAGGCTCAATTGCTACAGTGAAACAACAGATTACAGAGGAGCTGATGTTTTTACTCCCAAAGCCAACAACAACAATAAATTTCAGACTAGCATTGTCAGAGCAAATTATATCCACATTCATATAGCTTGTCTTCATCTGTTAGAAGTGGTGCCTGTCAGTTAATCCAAACTTTTAAGCTCAGTGAAAACTGTGTTCAGTTTGATTGACATGGTAATGACAAGACCACTGAAGAGCACAAGACCAAAATCAGATGACAGTTACTGCTACATCTTTTTCAATAAAGAAATAAAAAGAAAGAGAGACATGTGACCTGTTATTAAACTAATGGACTCACTACCCCTGCACTCTTTACTGTAATTTACCTTTACTGGTGCTTATACCACTTAAGCTTGTTTTTACGCTTGAGTAACTGCTGATTATCAGATGTGAAACCTGTCTTTTAAAGACATGTTGTTCTGGCTTCATTTCCTGCCACTGATTCAGGTTGTAACCTCACAGCAATTAGCTCAGAAGAGGACCAAGGCCTACATTTCAGCTGTCCTGGTTAGTGTCTTGATGCCTGCAGTTGTATGACATTATTATCCACTAGAGTAAAGGCATTAGAGTAAACAGTTCTGAATCACACATCTAGTCAGAGTCTCTGTGTACATATGTGAACTTGTGTACCTGGGATGCGTGGACCCTTGAGAGGGTTCAATAGTGCCATTCCGATCTCAGTCATGCCGTAGCGTTCCAGCAGTGTGTGTCCTGTAATCTCCTCCCAGCGCTGCAGAGTTGGAAGAGGTAGAGCAGCCGAGCCCGAAACCATTAACCTGGAGAGGAGAATGTTGAATACGAGGGAAACACTGAAGGCTCCAAATAACACATTTCCAAGTTATGCTATACCATAAAAACTTAAACTTAAACTGTACCAGACCTAAAATCAACAGGGCATCAGGGTAATGAGGGCTAGAAAGGGTAATTAAAATTTAAAAAAAAAAAACATTTCAGATACTATATTGAAGAAAACCATTTCTGCCCTGTTCACATTATCTGTTGCGTTGTGGGACTTTCATGTGCGATGTGCAGGATTTGTGCGAGTCAATAAGAAATATGCTTTCCGTGTGGAAAATTCTATAATAATGAAGTAGTAGAAAATATTGGTACTGCACAGCCAATAAATTAGAAAACACACAAAACTGTGACAACACATAAAATCTAACAAGGTAAAGACTGTTGAATAAAAGTAATATATCAATGTAATTACATTATCTCTGAAACAGGGACGATAACACCAAAAGTATCAAAGGGCAATAAAACACCCTCCTGAAAGCAATAGTCAACTCTTTACCTGATATGTATAGACACATATAAACAGATGGGCAACAAGTTAAAGGAAACCAAAATAAAGTGTTCTTGTAAATTAAGTCGGTGTACCAGCTCCTTGACATAGACTGTACCATCTCTGGAACTCCTCTGGAGGGATGAATGCCATTCTTTGAAAATATTCCCTCATCCAGTGTTTTGACGTTGGTGGTGTAGACCTCTATCTGACATTTTAGTACAAAATTTCTCACAGGTTTTCAGCCGGGTTCACACAGCATGTGACTCCTCACTTCATTTAGACACCCACCCAGCGGCACCTGGTGCCATGTTTGTCGGATTTCTCCATGCATTTATTGCAGCTTCTACTTTAAATCTGTCACCGGTCTGTATAAACACACATACTATACATACAGTATATCCACAAATACATCTACTCATAAGTCTTTCATTAATCCCACAGCCAATACCTGATTCTGTCTTTGCAGGTCGCTTTGACGAAGTCCCTGACATGAGGCTGTATGAAGTGCTGGTCGTAGTACTGGATCAGCTTAGAGTAGATAGTTGGCACAGCCATAAACACATTAACCATGGGAGCCTTGGAGCGCAACAGTGCCTCCCAAACCTGGGACACACAGACAGAGACAGAAAGAGAGAGAGTGGGAGAAAGAGATAAGCACAACATATAACTGAAGAGGGAGGAAAGAGGAGAGAGAGACAGACTGCAAACCTACACCAAGGCAGTTCAGTTTCCCCATAATGCCAATCCACCTAAAAGCTCGACCATGAAAACCTACCCATAGCATATGGAACCACACTGATATCAGCAGTGTTTTGGAAGTTACTCAATAAAAAACAATATTTCACTAATGGGAATTTTCTTCAGGCTGTAGCTCAGTACCTTTCTAAGATACCTCAAACTCACTGACCCTCTAGTGAATCAGCAGTTTCAGCTAGAGTTGGACCTTAGTTGCAAGCACTGTTTGTCTTAAAGTAGCGAGTCTTCTGCGAGTCCTATTAATTTTATCATTGTGGATCAGTAGATCAGGAATATTACTTGTATCCAAATGATACCTTGTTGTGTGCTAGATGTTATCTTGCAGTTTTTGCCCAAGCATTGTAGGCACTGTGTATGAAGTTAGAAGCAAATTATTGAAACTGGGACTATCTCACATTGGTGAAGAATCCTTTAAAAATTCCTGGATCTGGATGATGATCTGCATCAGCACCAAAATCTAATAGATCGTACCATGGTCCATACACTACCACTGCAAAAAAGTCATGAAAATCCATTCATTACTGTTTGAGTTATGCTGTGAACATCCCCTAGGCAGAGGTAATAAGGTAAAAAAAAAAAAAGCAGTGTATCTAATGAATGGGTCTATGCAGGCTAAATTATTACATATGAGATCATTCCATTAGTGCATGTGCTACAAAAAAGTGCATTTTTTATTTTATTTTATTTGATATAAATGGCAATGCCCAGGCAGCAGCCTCATATTAAACCTGTCAACACGATGCCAAAGAGAGAACAATAAAAAGTCAAGATCAAGCAGAGGAAAACAGTGGCGTGCCCTAGGGCAGAGCTGGCACGTTGGCCAGTTAAAAGGCCTCCTGTACGGTTACTGCTTTTGACAAATGTGCTTTTTGACTGTTACAGAAAGAGCCACATGCTGCTTCAAACACACACAGATGTTAAATAAACGTACCATAAACTTCCTGCACATATATAAATACTGTTCAAATATTACATAAACTCACTTGTTCATGAACAAAGTTGTTTTACACACCCCGCCTGCACCCACTCTACCTCATCCTTCACACACACACACACACACACACACACACACACACACACACACACACACACACACACACTCTGGTACAACGCAGTAGATGACTGGAGGATGGGACCACAGCTTAAATTAAGTGAAGGTGAGTGCCACTCTAAGTCCCATCTACCTCCTGGGCTGGGAGACAAGAGCTCCTCCCCAGCTTCCTCCTCTCCCTTCCCCTCTCAGACTACTTATCCATACTTTTTCTTCTTTCATTCCACCTCCATTTCCCAAGTGCTTCTTTTTCATTTCACACTTTCATCACTGACTCTACATCTTCCCTTCATCTTTCTCCCCTCTCTCTTTCGCTTCCTATCTCACATTCACTTACCTTCTCTCTCCATTTCATAATTTCCTGCTTCGCTGCCTCTGCAGTCCTTCTCTATCTCACACTCCCTCTCTCTCTCTCTCACACACACACACACATCTACTGTATATGCATGCTCACACACAGAAGGATGCATTCTCTCCCATCATCCCTCTCACTTACAATGCAACCACATCCTTCTTAATAAACCTGCAATTTCTAAACGCTTCCTTCCACTTCTCCTGAGTCACCTTGTTGTAGACTCACCTAATCTATTATCTACTAACAACTCTTCCCCTCATCTCCACTGCCTCTAATAAACAAAGAAAACTGAAATATATAGATAAATAAAGCTGATATTATTAAGACTTGTCAACAGTCTAATCAGATCCCTATCCAATTTCTGACAATATCATTAGAGGCTGATGTAAAAATTGTTTACCAAATAAAACTTGGTGCAGAGAGAAGGATTATTAACTGAGCGTACCCTGACCATTGTGGGTGGTGTCTATCAAGTGCAGTGGAGCGCTTCAACCAAGTCCAACACAGAGGGGAGAGGAAGGCAATTTATGTCCATCGAAACGCTGGCCTCCACACAGGGAACAGGATGTCATGAGAATCCAGAGCCACAGCCTGCATCCTAAACAACTGTGTGAGCTGCTCAGCCCTGCTCTCAACATGGGACTCCAGTACAATCCCAACTCTTCCTTTGAGATACTGGGTATTGAACACCAGTGTGTCCGTAGCACTGAGTATCCAAAACGGTCACGTATCAAAAGTTGGTGCCGATGCTTGGTCAAGTTAGTCCAGCTTACTTATTCCTTGATCAGCTGTTTCCATTGATATCGTAATTTATCGTTTCATTTTCTAACTATCATAATATGATACTTGTGATATGATTAAAATAAAAAATGTGACCATCATAGACCTGTTTCTAGGAAGGTTTTGTACAGTGACTTGTACTTTGGTAAAAAGAAATAAAAAATGTGTTCTAGAAATTTAAAAAAAATATTTTGCAAGGTAAGATATCAAAAAATATAATTCTGGCATTGGTAATAAAATTCAGGTATCGTACTCAAGGCACTGTCAAAATAGCGGTTCGGTGAGGCTGTACCTGGGCACAGTGGTGCTTTAGGAACAATTTGAATGTCAGCATGCTAACATGCTTAGAACGAATATACTGAATGAATGAAAAGACCAAGTACTGGACCTGTTGAAACTAGAGGAAAAGTTGGGGTGATTACATAAATGAAATAAAAATGTCAGTGCACTAAACCTTTCAATGATTTAATAATAACAGATAAAACATTCCACTCAAAGCCACAAATGTTAACCACATATCTAGACCACATTTTGTGCCAATACATCTGGCAGATGTTAAATTAAATTCTGATCTGCTGGTGGTGCTAGAGGAGGTGAGGTGAAGAGATCACCTGAATCAGTCGACTTCTTTATCTGAGGAACATGAATGTCCGTACAAAATTAGATGGGAATCATCTAGCAGTGGTTAAACGGCTGACAGATCAGCCCACTGTACGGAGTGACACCCGCAGATTCAGTATGTTTCTTCTTTCCAAGTCTGGTCTAAATTGCAACATCTCAGTGTGTTATTACATTTAACTTTCGTTTAAATGAATCATTTCTTAATGGTTAGCCAAAATATTACTTGCTGTGATGAACAAGTCAATGGAGATTTAAATAAACAAAACCTGACCAGTGCTGTGTGAATCCCAGAAACAACATCTGCCTTTGTCAGCCTGCAAAAGCACACTTAAAATAAATGTATCTGTGATTTGCTGGATCACAATTTGTGCACTGAAAATTTCTGTCACTATCTCCAGGCGAAATCAGCAAAAATCAATGCCAGCCTCTGCTGCTTAGGCCACTCTTCGGAGATCTTAGGGGACAGAACAGACAGACTATCAATCACTTCATCAATCTACTGTAACTTCAAGAGCAGAAGAATAAAGGCTTTTTTCTGAGGGTGAGACAAGGGCTTTTGTAGTTTGGTATGCAAGGGCAGGGATAACAGTTTAATATTGTGTTGATAGGTACATACTTGGCCTTTAAAATCCTTTCCTTTCCATCTCCCTTCCCAGCCATTAAGCTGGTCCTGACATACAAACAAAAACACACACACACACACACACACACTCGATCGACACGCATATATAAACACTAGGCACCCCATCTTCCCCTTTCTCCATAGGGCAAACAAGCACTATCATCCTTCAATGTCAGCTCATCGATTGATCTGCTGCTTAAGCCCCTGCCGTGAGTCAGCACTGGTCAGACACAAAGCCACACAGGGCAATTCATCACTGAGCCCCAAACACTTAGTTTGACAGTCAGAGAGGGACATGGAGGAGAAGGAGGAGAAACTGACAGAAGGAAAGAGGGAGAGGAGGTGAAGCGGGAATAAAAGAAGGATGGATGAAATGTGGGAGCAGAAAGTGAAACACTGATAGAGAAAGAAGGACTGATGTGGAAATAATTGTAGGTCTTTTATGAGCCAGTAGCACCTTGTCCATACAGGACTTTTACATCTGAAATCCTTCTTAGCCTCACTAATCAATGACTGGCTTGATTGGCACCTGCCAAGGCTTACAGCCATACGACTGCCTTTTTTGTTGAGCAGTGTTAATGAAAGGTACACTGTACCAGGAGAGAGAGTTACAAACAAGAAAACAACAGAAACAAAGTAAAGTCTAGACCTTCTGAGGTTGGAATTCAGGCAGCATGATGCAGGTGGCGCCCACCCAGAGGGGACACAGCAGCTTGTTAACAATGCCATGGAAGTGGTGGAGAGGCAAGGTGTGGAGGATGACATCATCTCTGGACCATGCCCACTCTGAAACCAGACATTGGACCTGAGGGAGAGGGAGGGGAAAGAGAGAGAAGAGCGTGTCGCCATGACACAATGGGTACATCCTAAATCTCTTGTAAGCACTGTCATTTCCTTCTCTTGTGTCTTTTCCTTGTATCTTAGTCCCGCCAATGTAAGACACAAGGAAAACATGCCTCCTATCGTTCAATCACCAACAGTCCCAACACAAATATCTTACCAATTATAGCTAAACTGATACAGTATTTTTGATCCCAAACCTGATAGGGATATTTGAGTAAAAAAGATTAAAAAAACAATACTTTATCCAGTATTCATGGTTTTCCATAAACATAGGACATATGCAAAATATCTTGTCCTGGATCCCTCTGATTTTTTATTTGTTTATTTTTACCAAGATACAAATTTGTGATGTGTAATTGTAAATAAATTTGATAAATGATTATAAAGTGGACTACATAAAGACCATGGTGAACAAAAAAACTAAATTCTTTCTTATTACACTAACAGTGTTATGTTTAGCTGTCATAAAGGGTTAGGATAACCAAATAATTACAAAAACAGACAACCCACACTGCTTGTTATTTAAATTAGACACAGCTTTTAGTACATTAGCAGCAGCTGTACCATCCCCTGCTATGTCAAAGTCATGAACCAATTGGTTTCTTTTTTTTTGCTATGAATTAAAATCTACAGGCGTCAAACTAGAAGTCTGAGTCGATGACAAAAAGTAGTTGAAATGTAATTTGCTTTGGCTCCAGTGTAATTATGGTTTAAAAGAAAACATTTACCATGGCTAGGATGCTGCTGTGTGTATGCAGAACTCCCTTGGGTCTCCCTGTGGTACCACTGGTGTAGATGATCATAGCTGGTCGATCAGCCCAGTCAGTTATGGCCATGTCCTTCTCATGAACATCTGCCCCATCTAAAGTGCACAGGTCAGAAGTAGGGGGCAATACCAGGCATGGCAGCCCAAGCCTCTGTGCCAGCGGCTCAAGGGTTTCAGCATAGGGATACCCTGCCACCAGCAGTGAACTCTGGGAGTCTGAGATTAGGTACTCCAGTTCAGACTGAGGGTGTCTTCGGTACAGTGGCACTGCCGTACCACCGCTCATCCATGTCGCCCACTGTGCCACTGTATAGGATGCATCATTAGCACACAGGAAGGAGATTCGTTTTCCTTCCAGACCCCCAAAGTTAGAGTTGAGTGCTGTACTGATTCTTGCTGCAAGGCTTAAGCTGCTGCAATACACCTGCTTGTAGCTGTGGCTGCCACTACTGTCTACAATAGCAGGCTTATCTCCAAATGCTGGAGCTTTGGCAAACACTGGCTTCAGGTTTGCCCTTGATGACAAGGCTGCAGTCCATCTATGAGCCCTTCGTTGAACCACAGTCTCCAGTAGCCATTGCTCTGGCTCCGATGGGTGACAAGTTCTGTAAAGAGTGGCTTTCCAGCGAGGAAAAGTCCACTTCAAGGAGTAGCAGGTAGCAGCAACAAACCTCGATGACATGTTTGAGACTCAGCTGTTCATACCCTGCTGAGTTTGGATCTCAGGACGGCGCCATCCTGCATCTCGCATCTGCTCATATCAGCCGATATCTGTGAGTTGACAGGAAAAAGGGTACGTGAACTTAGCTTTATCAGGCAGCACATAAAGACTGTCATTGTCTCCTCAATGCAAATACTGGAGGAAAACGGATTATCCTCCTGACCTTCTTCAGTATTACATTTGAGAGATTAGCAGTCACTTTCTTCGTTACTTTCTAAAACTAACTCACTGTGTGCAGCTTAACCATGTTCTTTGTTCTATAATTTTTAAACCCCAGAAAAGGAGGCACTGACAAACGTGAAATGAGTAGTTGATAAACAGAAAATGTACAGGTGCACTCAGATGATTTAGTATTGCATTTCAATAAATATGGGAGATTTACAAGAGACAGATCATCAAACTTAAAGCAGCAGAAGCTGAGATATCCCCACAGTTAACCTCAAGTGTGGGTCAGTTCCACAAACAACACGTGCTACATTTTCAGCCTATAGCAGCCGTTTGTAACTCAGGCTTTCTGTTAAAAATCTGAAGGCTCAACCCCAAGCTGCAATAACATCATCTGTATTATTCTGTCAGACTTTAGAAAGCTCCTTCTAAAGCCACAGGAGGCTTTACGCAACTGTTCACACAGACAAAGCAGAGCTCTCTATGACGATTGAATTTCAGTTGATGTGTAATTGCGTTTCGTAACAAAATAAGACATGAGGACATGTTGCTAATAAAAATAACTTTATTAGAAGTAATTTTAGAAGTAATTAGAAATAGAAGGGTGTCTGTAGTTCGAGACTGCCAACATATTCTATGCTCTTATCATATTCTGATCTAAAACTGCGTTAAAGCCACATTTTATTAATTGATAAGGATGCCACTCATTGCCCAAATATCTTCGTTAGCTGCTGTGTATGTTATTAGCATTTGCCACAAACGTTATCAGATTCACTGAAGGTAATGCAGACTGTTGTGATGACATTTGACATCGTTTATGCGACTCCGATACTGACCGGACCTCAGCCACAATGCTAATAATAAAAATAAATTTTACAGCAACAATGAAGATTAATATTATTTAGATAATAGCCATGTTGCACTAGGTACATACATCATCAAATGTACACTTACCTTAGTTTAAACGGAAGCCGGACCTTTAGTAGTGAAGAACAGCGCAACGACATTAACCCTCCGGCATGAAACAGCGGTCGTTGGAACGTCCTCCCTCCTTAGTACACACTGACTGAGACTTCAAAAATATTTAATAACAATGGACTTAATTCTTTGACGTTTTTCGCTATAAAAATGATTTAAACTAACATTTCCTAATATTCCGTTCTTTATTTGAAGAGGAACTCTTACTGAGATCATGCTCTCTGAAACCTGTTTAATGTGCTGTTAAACTTTATATGCTTATTCTTGTAGTTTCACATTAAGGAACTCAATAACAACTGGAATTGCAAATAGTTGTGTTTTAGTTGTCTTTTAAAATCAACTGAAATGAAAGATTTTTTTCAAAGTTTTTTGTCCCTCATTCTATTTGTTAGGTGTAGTACCTGGCACTAGTCATCCATATGGTGAACAAGAAGTAGTACAACTAATGCTGATATATTCTACCTGACAGTGTACTATAAGTACTGTGTTTACCTGAGACCAGAGAGCAAGGGTAGTCAGGCCGTTTTTATAGTAGAGCTTTTTACATAAATAACATACTATGCAGTTCTTTTCTAACAGTTAAGGAGGACCTTCCCATCTTTTCATAAGCTAGTCTATATGATGCATTAGTGAGTGAAGAATTTACTGTATAAAGTGTGATAAAGCACAGTGCACAGTGGAGTCAGTAGGCTTTAAGTTGAAGGAGGAGGTGTACATATACACAATATCATCGCAGCCAAGAGTATAGTTTACTGTAAGTTGTTCAATGGTCTTTTGACCAGCAAAAAAGTAGTATGATCTATTTCTATACAAACATTTAGATTTGATCTCAGCTTATTTGTCAGGTGTTTCACGTTGATCTTGGAATCAAGAGAGCTCATGATCTTATTTCTTCAGGTAATTATTAAATGCCATTCCTTTTAGGTTGAATTAACTTTGTATTTTTGAACAATTTAATTGTTCTTGCATTCTGATATATATTTTTTATTTTTAAAAGTTACACTGGATCTGATGTAGTATTTTGTACTACATGCAACAGAATATGTTTCATTACACATCCACAGACATTTTCAGATAACTGCATGATACTGTTCATTATAGAACGACTACCACGTCTTGTGTTGTCTGTCATCCTGTGGTTCTTAACTCATCTTGGTGTTTATTGGCAAAACCCACCTCTGTATCTGAAGACCTGCAAATTCAGTGGAGAGTTGCTCACCAGAGATGGAGACAGGAGAAGGGACAATGTGTAATATATTCTGCTACCTCACACAAAACTGTGTTTGGCTTCAGATCACATGTCAGTCCTACCACTCAGTGTGCCAACCAGCTTGGCTTGCTTCATCATAACAGTGCAAGTGGGCACATTCAGCCGCCAGCTGGCAGTCGTGGGCCTCAGATAAGAGAATGGTAAGACATGGCACACGTTCAAAAAGTTTTCACTTCCCTCCCCAAACCCCCTACACTGCACACGAGGATGGCATGTTCCTAACAAAACTGGAGCCTTTGTTTCAGAGAACTCCCCTCCACTCTCAGGAATAGTATCGTCAAAGACCACTCGTTCCCATTCGTGGGGAAAACGATATTCAAGCGGATGCTATGCTAGCCCAGCAGCTATGTAATTTCCAGAGAATCCTTTATTTGTAGGGTGTATGGACCCAATCTGCATCTTTTTGAATCATATTGCACTGCAGCATTTTCTAAGGATTCAACCAAAAAAAAAAGATCGAATGTCGTCTCTGGTGAAACGAAATAAGGCACAGATGACCCATGTTTTTGGATTTATATCCTGGAATTTGGCTATATTTTTGACATGCATTATGTGGGGACTGGAATTTGAGCCACTGAGAGACTTATTTACAGCTCCTGGAGACATATGCAGGGATGGATGAAGAGTGGAAGTTAAAAAGAACATCACATATATGTCTGTTGTTTGTCGGGGTAAAAGGACAAGACATGGCTGCAAAAATGCGATTAGACAGAAAATCTATTAACTAGAGGCTGGCATTCTGATGCACTGGCCTGCTGCCAACACACCATTCAGCAAAGACCACCTGAAAGTACCTCGCCAGTGATAGGCAGGACGTCCGCAAGAAGGCGCCACTTCCCATCTTGGCAAAGGAGTGCATCTGAGGAAATGGGAAAGGGGAGACCCCCCCACAGATCTATGAGAGAGGCTGAGATGGTAACACAAACCATAGGGAGTACCCAAGCATGTGTCAGGTTGGCATCAATGTGAGAAAGTCTTGGCAAGCGTTCTATTCTCTCCCCTCCCACCCCAGCTCACACACAAACTCACTGTTGCCCTGCTTGGAGCACATGGTACATCAGCAGCGGCATCTGGCTGCACTGACTCCTGGCAGCTGCGCTTCGTCTTCGCCAGTTGGGAGTCTTGGCACTGCCACTTCATCAACTACCTGTGGCTCCTCCTGGGTAAAAAGGCAAGCGATGAATAATTCTGAGGCTGCAGCTGCAAACTTGACTTTCATCCAAGAGACTCACTGTAAACATATGACTTCCTCAGCAAGCACATGCCACCCACATACTAATGCATGGTTGACAACACAGCTTGTATTTGTAAAGGGACCTATGTGATGGTGTGGTTTGTTTGAGGTGAAAGATGCTCTATGATGACATGTTTTATCTTTATGAAACACAAATGCTTTTAAGGGGGCCTAGTGAAAAAAAAACCCATGGATAACACAAAGCTCTCAGCTTACAAAAAGTGATTTTTAAAGCTTCAAATCAACAAAGACAGTGAATAAAAGGCATACATAAATGGCAGTAATATACCATTCTGAAATTCAATGCGTTTTAAACTCAGTGCTCTTTATCAGGCACCATAGGCTCATCTCATTGTGTTGGGAAATGGTTATGAAAGATCAAATCAAAAGGAAGCCAAAGATTACACGTAAGAAATTTTTTATATTGAACAAATGGATGGCTGACCTTTCAACTCTACATTTACTGCCTCACATTCAATTTCTAACAGAGTTTTTGACCACAAAGGACATTTGCCTGAAGTTCTCTGAATATGTTTTGCTGTGACAATATGGATTACTCAAAAAGAGTAGCAGAAATCTGTTTGAAGATTACCTCCCTTCACAAAAGAGAATTTCAGTGGCATCTTTGTGAGCTTTGTGTGGTCACAAACATTTAATTTGTTACATCTAATTTTGATTAAAGTTGATAGGCAGATTCTTTGTTTAATGCAACATCTTTTTTTGATTATACCATCTACAGCTCTGGAAGGTTCCATTTTATTGTTGAGGTGTGTTTAATGCTAACTCCTGTCCTTTTGTCCAGAAATGTTTAGGGTTCTTCTCCACTCTCAATTGATTTTTCTTGTAGAGAAGCCCTCATATGGATTGTTTCCAGGGCAAAAACACAAAGCTTTCAATTTGTCCCAAATGTCAGCTCTTAAGATAACCAAGTTAGGCACTTGGTAAAAAAATTTGAAGTGAGTTTATTGTAACCACAGTTAGTGTTAAATGCCAATATGAGAAGTTACTGATCATACACTTTAGACTCTGGTTATACATGAAGTAAAGGCAAGGGAGGCAGTCGAGGGAAGAACAGTAAAAAAAAGAAGAAAGCCACATATAATATTGGAAATTCTTGACACCCACTTTTTGGAGCTCGTGGTTTGCTCTCAACTATTTGAAAACTGTCTGACCCAATTTGAATTCAAAACTTGTTGTGTTAGCCTTGTTTCAAGAGAAATGTTGTTGACAAGCTGTGAAAATCTGTCAAAAACTACATCTCTCCTTACACACACACACACACACACACACACACACACACACACACACACACACACACACACACACACATACTTTCTCACTTTTTCTGTGGGTGTAAGTCATCTGACAGTGACCCAGTGGGAGTTTTTCTCCATATGCGTTGGTCTGACTCATTTTAGCCCTCGGCCATGTCCAACTGTTCCCTGTCCCAAACATATGCGCAGTGGCAGGGAGATAAGCGAACCATCACCGCACGGGACCTGCAGATATGACACTCGACCCTTCTTTCCTGTCTGTCTGTTTCCCACAGCATATGTCATCATCAGTACTGGCCCTGAGGACTCACACCTTAGTGGGCTGACAAAACATTACTTCTACCACTGCTTCTCCTCATCCTGCTCTGAGTTAAGGACGTCTGTTCATAAAAATGATTGGATCGTCAGACTAAATGAATGTTTACAGATTTTGGATTAGGTGTTTTATTTGAGTTTTGCTTTGTTTATTCCTGCTTATAGCCTGAGTGTGTTTACTGTCAGACAATACTGTATATGTTTGCCCTCATTTGACATCAGCTGATTTTCAGTGGTCATCATGACTCTGAATGTCATTCGCAGCTTTACCTCTCTTATTCATTATGCCCTTGAATTTTTTTGTTTTTATTGGACAACCCTTTGATTGGGCACTTGACTCAGTGGATGGATTAGCTACAGTATCTGTGCAGATTGTACCACTAGCCAGTGAGGGCAGAATATGCCAACCAGAAAAGGGACTGGGGTTTTTCCAAGCGGTCCATGTTGGCACATGAGATGGTATCACTGCACAGAGCCCAAACCCACAGGGGACCATGGGGTGTGAGGCACATATGGGCAAACAGGCTGTTGATGAGCTGCTTATATAAGCCTCTCACTGTGGCCTTAGAGAGAGATGTCTCCACCAGAGGATTTGAAGTGCTATATGTTGTGGGTCTGCATTGTTTGAGCTGGCACAGAAGCTTGGATTCAATCTGCATATGGAGCAGATATGTTCTTCTTTTTGTCATATGTTGTTGAAATTCTTTGAGACAAGCCCTGTATAACAATAAAAAAAAATGAAAATGTCTGCAACTTTGTTATTGTAATTTACACCTTCCCTGAATAACAGAGACAGTGTAGTCAAATGGACGGAATAAAGTTTATTTAACTGTAGTCTTAAGGTAACTCACCTTAAATAAATGATATCCAACTTCCTGACCTACTGGCTGTAGTAAGCTTTAGACAGCACTGGACTTTTTTGATGGCTTTCCACTAATGCCTTATTGATTCTCTTCTTTCCCTTTTAAC